TGCTTGCTTTAGGATTTCATAGGTTTCCGTAGCCGTTTTGGCGAGTCTTTGGCAAAATTTGATGCCCACGCCATTCCGAAATCGCAGGAGGGTCGGTGTAATGCACTACCAAAACGCCCGTAACTAAGAAACAAATGCTAATTCGATGATGCCGGCTGGCACACTGATTCACTATGAATGTAGGCCGCACCCCCTAGCGGCAGAAGCTCGTACTACATCCGGTTCGCCCTCTATTGACACAGTCTGGAAACTTTCCGATCGCACCTCGTATAGTCGTTGCGTCAAAAGCCTATTTATTCGCAGCCCACACTGTTCTCAAATTTCTCAAAAATTGTTCGTCGTAAAAGTCACTGACATAAAATGTGGTCTTTATGAACATCCATGTCCCTTTCAATCATTCTCCCCGAACAAATACTCAAAAAGGGAAAAATAGTTGGAGTGAAGAGAGATTTTAAAGTATGTAAAACTCCACTCCTTCATAACATTGGAAACAGATACACGTGAGTGGGCAGTGTCACGTTCCGACCGCCTTAACATCTAGAAGAGAGACCCAGAGACCCACAAAAATGTGAGGCTGGGTTGGCCTCAGAGCCGGTCTGGAAGCTTTGGCGAAGAAAAAAATTCTGCCCTGCGGGGAATCGAACCACTGTCGTTCAGCCCGTAACATACGCAGTACACAAAGTAATCTACAGGACATAGTTCTTAACGTTTTTCTTAAATCTGTCAAATTCTACAAAATAGAGGTTTGTGACAATTTTTTAAGCCGAAGCTCGTATAAATATTATTTAAGAATTCAGTCCGTACCGCGAAGAAAACACAACACTTCCCCATTACAAAGATCAATTGGTTAACGCAGTTTAAGAAAATAATCTATTCATTTTGAAAATCGAGATATTAAAGTAAATACGGGTAATAATCATATTACCGTAAATAAACCATCAATAAAACAGTTTGTTTCAGAAACAGAAACATGAAAGTAACGTACCGTATTGACAGGCTCGCGTCAACAGGCCGTACCTCGGAGACACACACACTAACAGAACTTACACATCCGCATAATTCCGCGCTTCGCGGCAGACTGCGGTATTGTGTGACGTCACAACCACCCTGCCCACTGCCCTCCCTACCCGACTCTCATCATCTTCAAAGACTTGCGCCCTTTTTCCTCCAGTATGCAACATATATACATCGAACATATCGATCTCCGTGCCTTACTCTCGGAACCGTTCCGACCCACTTAGACAGGCATTTGTTCACGAACACCCGGTAAGGGAAGCAGTCGATTGTAAGCAAAGAACAGTCTGCGAATACAGAACCAACCACACGCTTCTGAGGGGTGAGAGTCCGAGGAACGAGCAGAAATGGACGGAAACTTCACTGACACTTCAAAGCCGTCCCGCTACACGCCACGTATGTCATTTGGGGGGAGAGGAGTTTATAACTCCTACTCTTTCTTGACCTCGGCACTAGATGGGGTGAGTGGTCAGCATTACGCCCCGGCCGAGCTTTACCCCCGGGAAAGGATCCCGGTACCAATTGGATAGGAGGCTGGGTGGGCCCCAGAGCCGGTCTGGACGCAGAGGCTAGAGGAAAAATCCTCTGCCCCCGTAGGGGATCGAACCCCAGTTCAATGACCTG